GGAATTTGCAATCTTGTACTAGTTTAGGAAAGTAGTATGAATAACTTCCCCACAAATATGCACCGCCTCAAGTAAACTGCAGGATTTGAGATCATCTAAATTGGGTCCAGTGTGTTTTCATCCAAGGGGGCTTATTATAGAGACGTAGCCGCTTCTGTGCCGCTGAGCCTTAGATGAACGACAGACTCCTTCTTGTACTTACAGGTTGTCACATTCTTAGATGGTCACTCATCTTCCTGTAGGACAACTGCAGATTTGAGTTGTTTTTCTGCATCGGGCCATAGGTTGCTGAAACAACACGGTATCACTAGTTATCATTTCTTTTTTAAAAATTTTATTAGGGTAGAGTGGCTTTACAACGTTGTGTTACTTTCTGCTGTATAATGGAGTGAATCAGCTGTAGGTATACACATATCCCCTCCCCCTTGGACCTCCCTCCCGCGCCCCCATCCCACCCATCTAGGTCCCCGCAGAGCAATAAGCTGAGCTCCCTGTGCCATACAGCAGGTTCCCACTAGCTATCTTTTTTACAGGTGGTGGTGTATTTATGTCAAACCTAATCTCCCAATTCATCCCACACCCCTTCCCCCACTTTGTTCACATGTCCATTCTCTACGTCTCCGTTTCTATTCCCGCCCTGCAGATAGGTTCATCTGTACCATTTTTCTAGATTCCACATATATGTGTTAATATACGAGATTAGTTTTTCTCCTTCTGACTTAACTTCGCTCTGTATGACAGACTCTAGGTCCATCCATGTCTCTACAAATGACCCAATCTTGTTCCTTTTTATGGCTGAGTAATACTCCATTGTATATATGTACCACATCTTCTTTATCCATTCGTCTGTCGACGGCCATTTAGGTTGCTTCCATGTCCTGGCTATTGTAAATAGAGCTGCAGTGAACACTGGTGTGCATGTATCTTTTCGAATTGTGGTTTTCTCAGGGTATATGCCCAGTTGTGGGAGTGCTGTGTTATTATGGAGAACAATATGGCAGTTTTTTTAAAAACTAAAAATAGGGACTTCCCTGGGGGGTGCAGTGGTTAAGAATCCGCCTGCCTGTGCAGGGGACACAGGTTCAAGCCCTGGTCTGGCAAGATCCCATATGCTGCGGAGCAGCTAAGCCTGTGAGCCACAACTACTGAGCCCGAGTGCCACAACTACTGAAGCCCACGCACCTAGAGCCTGTGCTCTGCAACAAGAGAAGCCACTGCAATGAGAAGCCCACACACCGCAACTAAGAGTAACCTCCGCTCACCGCAACTAGAGAAAGCCCGCACACAGCAACGAAGACCCAATGCAGCCAAAAAGAAATAAGTAAATTTATTTTTAAAACCCCCTAAAAATAGAACTGCCATATGACCTAGTTATCATTTCTGAGTGCTTTACAAATATTAACTGATTTGATCCTTGCAACAAGCCTCTGAGGTGTGATTGGTTTGGAATATGTTGTAGCTCACTGGAGCATGAACCCAGAAGGCTGAACACAACCTCAAACCAGCTGAGAACTTTGCTCTGAGGCTTGGCTTCAGAGCCTGTTCTAACTGCACCAGTGCGGCTGCGAGGGGCTGCAGGTCTCACCCTGGAAAGGGTCTCCACTCCTGCAAGTGGGGGGCCCTTGCGCTTTCAGATTCCCATCTTGGTGCTCCTATCAAGGCTGCAGTTTCTTGGGCAGAGGCTGGAGGCCAGAGGGGCATGAGCTCGGGGCCTGGGTGGCCCCAGGGGAGACTTACTGGGGTGCCAGAAGACCAGGAAATGCTCTGGATGTGGCTTCAGTGTCTGCCCTTGTGGCTCTCCGTGCCACGGGAACTAGCAGTGGGACCGCTGACAGAATCCATGAGTGGGAACCACCCTGAGTGCATCAGGCCTCCGTGGCACCTTTTGTGTAGCCATGCAGACTCGATTAACCTGCCAGGGATCTTCCTTTAGGCAGAATATCATGTGTTGATCTATATATTTAAGTTTCTTTCTTTTGTCTCCTGTGCCCCCCCAACATCCATCTATCCACCCATCCCCTAAAACGTGCTGCGTGGGGCTTACTTTTTTTTTTTTTTTTGGCCGCAGTGTGCAGCAGGCAGGATTAGTTCCCCAACCAGGGATGGAGCCCACGCCCCCTGCAGTGGAAGCGCGGCGTCCTAACCACTGGACCGCGAGGAAAGACATAGCACTTTTTTTTTTTAATTGAACTATAGTTGGTTTACAATGTTGTATTAGTTTCAGATGTACAGCAAAGTGATTCAGTTACACAAATGTATATGTATCTATTCTTTTTCAGGTTCTTTTCCATTATAGGTTATTACAGGGTATTGAGTATAGCTCCCTGCGCTGTACAGTAAGCCCTGTCTTAATATTTTTAAAGCTGCAAGTAGGGATTTCCCTGGTGGTCCAGTCGCGCTTCCACTACAGGGGGTGCAATTTTGATCCTGGGTTGGGGAACTAAAAAAAAAAGAAAGAAAAAGGTGCAAGTAGACAGCACTCTTCTTAGGTTAAAGCTCGTTTCTGGAGCTCCTCCTCTGGTCCTAGGAGAGCAGGTGGGAAGGTCAAGCGACAGGGACCCCGTTCTCAGGGATCTCCGACCCAGCTGGGGTGTCTGGACAGGTGACTTGTAATGACGGAGCAGTCAAGGCACGGGGCAGAATTCCGTCCTTCCCTTCTGCAAATCAGGTGGGTAATGCCAAGATGACGTCAGCTAATAATTTTGGGTTGAGTTAATACAATGGTTCTCAAACTTTTACTCACAAAATCTTTGAGGATCCTAAAGGGCTTTTGTTTATGTGGATTATATCTACTATATCCTGTATAATATAACCAGTATTAGAAACTAAAACTGAGAAATTTTCAAAGCACAAGCCTACACAATTACACCATCTATTTTGTGTCAGAGCAATATTGCCATATGTGATGCAGCTTCTGGAAAATTCTGTACACTCAGAGAATTAGAGTGAAAAAGAAAACATCTCAACATTTTTATGAAGACAGTTTTGAATTTGTAGACTTTGCAAAAGTCTAGGGGACCCTCAGCGGCTCCCTGACTATCCTTTGAGAACTGCTGGAGTACAGCATCAAAGATTTGAAGATTCTAACAGAATGCCTTGATCAGTAACAGGAAAAGCATTCTTTTAAAAAATCCTTTGGGGACTTCCCTGTTGGTGCAGTGGTTAAGAATCCACCTGCCAATGCAGGGGACATGGGTTCGAGCCCTGGTCCGGGAAGATCCCACATGCCATGGAGCAACTAAGCCCCTGCACCACAACTACTGAGCCTGCCCTCTAGAGGCTGCACCAGTGCAGCTGCGAGGGGCTGCAGGTCTAGTAGCTGCGAACCACAGCTACTGAGCCTGCGTGCCACACTACTGAAGCCCACGCACCTAGAGCCCGTGCTCTGCAACAAGAGAAGCCACCGCAATGAGAAGCCCACGCACCGCAACGAAGAGTAGCCCTCGCTCGCCACAACTAGAGAAAGCTCGCGCGCAGCAACGAAGACCCAACGCAGCCAAAAAAAGCCCCACAAAACTTTGTAAGTAGGAAAGGAAGAAAGTAAGTTTCCTTTACCTTCTTACGTTCTGTTCTTGGGATGTGCAAATTAAACTGACAAAAGCAGGGCTTCCCTAGTGGCGCAGTGGTTAAGAATCCGCCTGCCAATGCAGAGGACACGGGTTCGAGCCCTGGTCCGGGAAGATCACACATCCCGCGGAGCAACTAAGCCTGTGCACCACAGCTACTGAGCCTGCGCTCTACAGCCCGTGAGCCACAACTACTAGGCCCGTGTGCCACAACTACTGAAGCCCGCGCGCCTAGAGCCCGTGCTCCACAACAAGAGAAGCCACCGCAATGAGAAGCCCGCACACCACAACGAAGAGTAGCCCCCGCTCGCTGCAACTAAAGAAAGCTGGTGCGCAGCAACGAAGACCCAACACAGCCAAAAATAAATAAATAAATTTATTTAAAAAACAAAAAATAAAAAAAACTGACAAAAGCCACATTAACAGGAGAAAAGGCATAGAAATTTTATTTGATGTCAACGTTTAATTTTTACGTGCATGGAGACCTTCATAGAACAGAAGTGAAGACCCAAAGAAGTGGGTAGACCAGGTTCTTATATGCTACAGTATGTTAACAAATGGTGAGAAATTGTGGAAAAGCAATAAGACAAAGGAAAAGAGGTTTGGGCTTCCAGGTGCAGTAAATTGTGGGGAGGTAAGTGTATGGGGGAACTAATAGAAGACGGGTTATTTTAGTCAGGTTCGTCTGTTCAGATCCAGGTCGGAGCCCAGTTTCTGTCTGCAGTGATAAGGGCTGTTCTCCCAGAATGGGAGCTGGAAGGGGGCGCCTTCACGGACAGAAATGTATGTCCTGCTCTGAGGCAGAAAGGAGGGCACAGAGCTCTGTCTGCTTCTGTGCTTCTTAATTGCCTTTAGCTCAGAATAATCCTTATGTAAAAGTGGGATCTTTGGGGGCAGCACATCTGGTACCCCTCAGGACCCCCAGAGATGGACAAGCAAAACGCCTGCTCTTCCCCACTGCATGTTTTCTTCTGTCTCACCTACTGTGCACCCCTGGTCTTCCCACTCTGCCCCTGACCATTTCGCTCTTGGTGTCCCTAGTGGCTTGGCCACCTCAGGGGTCCCCTGCCTCGGGGTGGGAGAGTGGGGAGATGAAGTGGGTCCTTGGAACACCCTTTCTGGCTTGTGTCCTGTCGTCAGCTGGCCTGTTCCTCATTCGCTGCACAAACGCTTACTGAGCACCGACCATGTGCCAGGCACTGTTCTAGGTGCCAGGACCCAGCCTTGAACAAGAGGCAGACATCCCAGCCTCGTGGCACCAAAGAGCATTATCCCATTCGGGGCTGGGACTTCTGATCAATCTCAGAGGCCGTCACAGGCACTGAACAAGGAAATCACAGAGTCCAACCTAGTTTTGGAGACTGTTGGCAGCTGGGACTGGAGATCTGCTCTGCTCACCTCTGACATCTGGTCGGGACCATGCTTCCCTCGCAGGTGTATGAACTGAACGGGACGGTCTACAGCCCAGAGTGGTCGGTGAGGTTGTACGAAGAAGTGGCTCGTAATTTTGCAAAAGAGCATCCTGGGTTTATCGGAATCAAACTCATTTATTCGGATCACAGGTGAGAGCGAGCACGGCTGAAGCTGAAGGAGCTAGGAGGAGACGGGGGTGGGGCGGGGGGGGCCGGGGGGGGGGGGGGGGGGGGGGGTGGCGCTGGGAGGCTGGGGCCAGAGACCCCGGGGGACTCCATGTGCCGTAGCGGGAGTGCAGAATCCACTCTGAAATCCTGACCAGGCTGGAATGAAGAACTGTGGCAACTTTCCAGATCATTGCAGGCTGTGACCCACACCGGCCTGGGTCATCAGTTACGGGTTTAGTGTTTTTGCCTGAATGTTTTTTGCTTCAATCTGCGGCCGGGTTCTGCCTCACGGCAGCCACGTCTGTGTGGAGGCCTCTGGGAGCTTCAAAGAAACCCTCACCCTTGCCCCAAGCAAGAGGAGGAGGCCTCCGCGGAACTCGGATTTTACCGAGGAAGGGTCTCCCTTTTGTCGGAAAGCAGCCGGTCTGGACAGTCGGCGCCGTGTCCAGCCGGAGGGTTTGGGGAGGGCAGACCCCGCCTGCTCAGCCCCCCGCCGGGGGAGGCGGAAGGGCAGTCAGGCCTCCCTGGAGCCCCCTCCCGTCCCGGTGAGACTTGGGGCCGCCGGCGCTGGTGGGCCGGGGTGGAGCTGGCGGTGGTGGATGGCGGAAGCTCCCGGGGGCCGGTGTCAGGAGCGCGGCCGCACGGCGTCCCCTTGGCGCTGGGGACGGAGGCAGCTGCTCCCGGTGCAGAGGAGGGACGGGCAGGTGTGGGGCTCACAGAGCCGGGGATGGAACAAGCGGGGCGATGCCTCGGCCCCACATGGACTTGCGCCTTTTCTCTTTGTGCTTCCGTGGTGTCGCTCCCACCTTTTCCCTGCCCTGGGCTGGAAGGGAGAGACGTGCAGGGGAGAAGAGACACTTTGGTCGTGTGGTTTCTGCAGTGCCCGGGCCTTGCTGACGGAACCAGGGCCCAGGCCCAGCTGCCCTGGCAGGGACTGGGTGGCCTGTGGTGTTTCACAGGTGCCCAGGGAGCAGTGGGCTGGGCACCTCCAGGACCATCCTCTCAGGGATGCGGGGCAAGTTTCAGGCATGGCCGCTTTGCTTCAGTCAAATGCAGACCAATAAAACTGCACTATTTGTTTTGACCCCGTGGGTCCCCATCCCCACTGGCTTTCCAGAGCCTACGCTCTCTGTGGGCCCCGCCGGAGTCCTTGAAAAGATGGATTTGGGCAGAATTTCTCCGTGATGGGGCACAACAGCCTGGACGGGGCGGGGTCGTGTGGGCAGGGCGGCTGGGTGCCCTGGACGAGGCCAGACTGGTCGTGAGGGGCGCTCACTACACCCACTGGCCCCGAGGAGCCTGCGCCCGTGCTTCTCTCCATCTCTCCCACAGGTCCAAAGATGCGTCCACCATCACGAAATCCATCCAGACAGCCATGGAGCTTCGAGCCAAGTTCCCCGGGATGGTGGCGGGGTTTGACCTGGTAATGGGCCCAGCCCAAAGCCCTCCGGGAAGAGCTGGGTGGCCGGCACCACTGAGACCCTCCCTTGGGGCCTGGGGGTGGGGGGGAAGGGAGAGCAGAAAAGTTCAGAAAAAGGCTAGAAAGGGAAGCTCCAGAACAAGGAAGGGCCAGGATGAGGGGCTGCCCCCCACTCCCCGGCCTCTGCCCTGCTCTGGCCTCAGTGCCCATGACACATCGCTCTTCAAGCTGCAGCCCAGGGCTGGGGTGTCTGGAAGGAGACATGGGCCTGGACCTGAGCGTACCGTCCAGGATCCAAAAGCGGCCCCGCCCCCTTCACCCCAGCTGTTTCCAAAGCCCCCTCACCCCCCTGCCCCACATAACAGCCAGGCCACACTTCAGGTGACGACTCCGTAATCTCACTCAGAAGCTACATTAATCTAACTGGCCAAGGGCACCCCGACCCCCCTTGCAGAATGCGCACATCTCACTCGAGACTGCGCTGAAGCCCTTACTTTCAGACCCGCCAGGGCCCCGGGAGCGGATCTCAAGGAATTGTTTTCTTTGGACCAGGGTGTCCTCCTGGGGTCCTCGGGGGCTGCTCAAGGGATCCGGCCTCTCCAACCCCTTTTCCCCTCTGTCTGCGGCGCCTCCCGACCGGTCCCTACAGGACTCAGGTGCACCAGTCCTCGAGGGAAGCCGGGCTGGTGTTGTTCAAAGGGTCGGCTGGGGTCTGCACTCCGTCCTGCTGCGCTGAGCGCCCAGCTTGTGTTATCACGAGGGTGTCAGCGCCCCTCCCCGCCTTCTCTCCCAAGGCTCTCTCAGTCCCGGCCCTGGGGGTGGGGCCCCCTTTGAAGAGCCAGACTTTGGTGCAATTGCGGTGGGGTTAGTTACGGCTGAGGGACTCTGCTGGGAGCTGCCAGGCCCGGGAGCCCAGGGGTCGAAGGCCACAATCCTCCCGACCCTGGTCTAGGGCTCAGGCTCTCCCGCCCTCTCTGTCTCTGTCTCTGTGCTCTCTGAGTCTCTCTCTCCCCCAACAAGGAGCTCGGGCTGGAGCGCAGGGCTGGGAAGGCCGTGTGCGGGACACCACGCAAAGGCTGGGAGGGTCGAGGTACAGCCTCTGAATAAGGGGGGAGTTCTTTCGGGGCAACGCGCTCTCTTTTTCTTTCCCAGTCCTGCTACTGGTCCCTCTCAAAAGGCTGTGTGCCTGAGGCCTCAGCAGTGCTGGCAGGTACGGGGCTGCAGGGCACACCAGCAAGGCCCCCCACTCTGTCCTGCAGGTGGGGCGAGAGGACACGGGCCACTCCCTGTATGACTACAAGGAGGTTTTGATGATTCCAGCCTCGCGGGGCATTAAGCTGCCTTACTTCTTCCACGCCGGAGAGACAGGTGAGCCTATGACCCCGTCGGGGACAGAGGGGGTGATGGGCAGGGGCCCTGGCCATCTCCGAGGGCACGGACGGGACACCGGGAAGTGGACCGACAGCCCCAAGGCGTCTCGCGGCACCTGTCCCTTTCACGTACATTATCACATCTGTCCTGACAGCAACACCCGGAGAAGGAGGGACAGGGATACTGGGGCAGCTGCCCTTCACATACGTTATTCACTGCTCTCAGCCGGTCCTGCCAGGAGGGCGCTTTTGCCCCCATTTACAGGTGAGGAGTCCAGGGCTCCAGCCAAGCACAGTCACCGGTCCACGTAAGGAGCTGGGAACCTTTCTGATGATCTCCTTTTCATAAGGCATGAACTGTGCTCACTGGTCATCGCTCAGCCTCCAGACACTCCAGACCTTAAATAAAACACGTCGACCCTCAGCAGAAGCAGCACCAGGTCACAGCTGCGACATCAGATCCCAGGGAAGATCTGGGGGGCTTAGACCTGCTGCATCCCGACTGGCACCCCTCAGAGCACCTTGGGCTCCTGCCACCCAAGAAGCCCTAGGAGCCAAGGGCAGAGCCGTGGGAGCTGGGATTTCACAGCCAGGCTTAAACCCTTGTGTCTCATCACCTCTCAGAGGAAGCCTCCTGGGCACTGATCTCTCAGTTACGTATTTATTTAGGCTGCCCCGGGTCGTAGATGTGGCACGCGAGCTCTTAGTTGCGACATGCGAGCTCTTAGTTGCGACACGCGAGCTCTTAGTTGCGACACGCGGACTCTTAGTTTTGCCGTGCGGCACGCGGGATCTAGCTCCCTGACCAGGGATCGTGGAGTCTTAACCACTGGACCACTAGGGAAGTCCCGCCAGGGAAATCCCGCGTTAATCTCTTTTTCCTGACATTATTTTCAAGTCCATTTAGATCCAAGCTGTTCTAGGAGATTTAAAGAACTGTTTGTGGGGGTGGGGAAGTGGAGATGGTGTGTGTAGGGGGGGGCGTTAGCCTTGAAGACCACGTGGTTTGGTTGGGAAAATCATACTCACCTCTGTGAAATCATCTCAATTCCAAGACGCATGGTCCTAGGAGAGGATTTTGCCAGGACTTGGGTATTTAATACCTTTAGTTAAAAAGAAAAAAATCTTTGAAAAGAAGTAGTAGTTAGGAAACTAGTGAAAATCTACCTGAAGCACATGCCCTCACCAGCAATGGGAATACCTGGGTTTCATTCCCAACAGAAAAGTGGATTCTCACATTTCCCATGTGAATCAGTCAGGATGCTTTTCCAGGCATGGGGCCCTCACACCTGGGTCTCACAATTAGGTCTTCTGTGATCTCCCGCAATAAGCAACCTCTGCTTTCTTTCTGGGTCCAGGATTTCACCCCACTTGGCCACAGATATGAAGTCACAACCAGGCGTGACCAGAGAGGAGCTGTTTCCTCCAGGGCACCTCCTTGTACTGGGGGGAAGCTGCAGGAGTCCTCACCCGCACCCTCCCTCCCCAGGCTGGCAGAGTCCGAACTGCCATTCTCACCTCCAGCGAGGCCCTGCCAGCGGGAAGCCGCCTGCTGCTGCTGCCGGCTGCTGCCATCCTGCCACGGGTTGTCCCAAGAGCTCTGTTACAGACAGAAATTAAAGTTCGTACAAATCATTAGAGCGACCGAGTCTGCAGCACATTGCTGTAGAGGATCCTACACATAAAATTCCCAGAAAACAGCTCTGGAAACAAACATAAAATGGAAAGAAAGAATATGGACGGTGGGTCAGGTAGACCAAGGCTTGAAACCCAGTTTTGCTGCTTCCTGCCTGAGGACCTTGCTTGAGTTTATAAAGCCTGTGTGGGTTTCAACTTCCTCAACTGTAACATATGCACATACATACATACGTACCTATAGGCAGGCCGTACCTCTCTTCAGCATCGTCATAAGGAGAACGTGTGCGCGTGTGCGCTTTTGTGTTAATGGTCATTTCTCTTCCTTTTCCTGCTTGGGGAGTCTGGGCCTTTCACCTGCAGATTGTCTGTGGGTCCCATCCATCCTACTGAAGACCCACCCCCTTTATTCCTAGACTGGCAGGGTACCTCTGCAGACAGGAACGTTCTGGATGCCCTGATACTGAACGCGACCAGGATTGGCCATGGGTTTGCTTTGAGCAAACACCCGGCCGTCTGGGCTGAGGCTTGGAAGAAGGACATCCCCGTCGAAGTCTGTCCCATCTCCAACCAGGTACGCAGGCTCCCTGGGGCCAGTGGAGGGCACTCTCCTCCCCCAGCCACGGCCAACCTTTCTCCTGCATAATCTCTCCGTTAACTCCCTTGGTTTCTCTTCCCTCCACTCTCTCACTCCCGGTCGTGAAGTTATGTAGGAATGGACTTTGCCTAAACCATTCATAGTAATGAGGGTCCCCAGTGGGGCGGGATTGCGGGTGAAGCTATGGACGAAGCTAAAGGGGCCCGGGACGGACACGCAGGGGGTAGCGTGGGGTCCCACTGCCGGGCAGCTGCCTGGGGCTTTGTGCTTAGGGCAGCTGCTGCGAGCAGGACCAAGAGAGACCAGGTGTTTGTGGAGAAGACGAGGACTCGCGGGAGGACCGGCTCTTCCCGCGTCAGGACCGCCCAGAGCCCCGATGCTCGGAACAGTGACGGGGATGGCAAGGCCCGGTTATACTCGCGGCCTCACCTTCCTCCTGACGGCTCTGCATGGATGCATGGTTGTCTCTGACTGGGCAGGTTCTGAAGCTGGTGTCTGACCTAAGAAACCACCCTGCAGCTGTGCTGATGGCCACCGGGTACCCCATGGTCATCAGCTCTGACGACCCCGCTACGTTTGGCGCCAAAGGCTTGTCCTATGATTTCTACGAGGCCTTCATGGGCATCGGGGGGATGACAGCCGATCTGAGGACCCTCAAACAGCTGGCCGTGAACTCCATCAGGTGAGCGTACCTGTTCTCCTCGGTCACCGCCTGTGTTGACCGCTCCGAGGTTTGGGCTGAGGCCCGGAGGTTTCCGTGCTCTTCTCCGCATCGTCTCCTATCCTGTGACTGCTCTCGGGCTGGGGACATGGTGCCCTGCCAGCATCCGAGGTCCCCTCCCGCCCCTCCCTAGGCTGACCCGGGCGCCCCGCCCCCGCAGGTACAGCGCCCTGTCGGAGCCGGAGAAGCAGTTTGCCATGGCAACCTGGGAGGAGAGGTGGCAGAAGTTTGTGGCCCAGCTGGCAAGGGGCCCCGAGTGAGGAGACGGCCGTCTGTCATCCACTGCCTCTGCTTCCCTCCGCCCCGGCCTCGCCTTCTCTCCGCCGGTCTGGAACCCAGGGAAGTCACCTCCGTCTCTTTACCAGAACCGACGTGCGAAGGCCACCCTCAGCCTCCACCTTGCCCGAACTCTCAGAGCCCTCATCAGTGGACCCCACACACCTCGTGGAATGTCCTCCCTCGGCCTCGGTGACACAGCCCCTCCGGGTTCCTGCTTCCCTCCGGCCGCAGCTCCCGGGGGGGCCCCGTCCCCGAGCTCCTCTCGGCTGGTCTCGGGTGGGCGTCCCTCAGCTCAGCCCTGCACTTTGGTCTCCGCTGCTTCCCTCCCCTTTTCTCTCTTCACTCCACACTCTTCTCCTGGGTGGTCTCGTCCACTCCTTCCCTTTAGAAACTGCGTACTTGATGATGATTCCCAAACCTGTGGGTGATTCCCAATCAATACACTCGATGGCCCACAGGAGCCTCGGAGACCAGCTCCGAGCAACGCTTCCCTCCCAGGCGCCTCAGTGACTGGCATGTCCCTCCCCGCGGCGCAGAGGTCGTCAGAGGAGTTCTTGCTGCCCCTGTTCACCCACCCTCCCCACACCGCTGCTGCCTGCCCTGCAGCCGCTGTATGAGCTCTGGCCTGACTCGCAACAGTCCCTAGCTGCTCTCTCTCTTCTCTTTGCCCTTTCCAGCTCGTTCTCCGGCAGCAATGACTGTTTAAAGTTAAATTAGGGGCTTCCCTGGTGGCGCAGTGGCTAAGAATCCGCCTGCCAATGCAGGGGACACGGGTTCGAGCCCTGGTCCGGGAAGATTCCACATGCCGCGGAGCAACTAAGCCCGTGCACCACAACTACTGAGCCTGCGCTTTAGGCCCTGTGAGTCACAACTACTGAGCCCGTGAGCAACAACTACTGAAGCCCGCACGCCTAGAGCCCGTGCTCCACAGCAAGAGAAGCCACCGCAATGAGAAGCCCGCGCACTGCAACGAAGAGTAACCTCTGCTCGCCGCAACTAGAGAAAGCCCGTGCACAGCAACGAAGACCCAACACAGCCAAAAATAAATAAAATAAACAAATTTATTTTTAAAAAAAGTTAAATTAAACCAGGGTCCTCCACTGTGACAAGTCTGTGCACTTAGGAAACTCCTGTCCCCACTGGGCACGTAGCACCCTGTGAGCCGGGGTCCCTCCCACTCCATCCCGCCCCGCACGGGACTCCAGCCTCGGTGTCCCAAGCTCTACCAGCCCCAGGGCCCCCCTCGGTCTCTCTGCTGGGAATGCTGTTTCTCCCGCTTGTGTCTGACTCTTGTCACCCTCGGGCTTCATGTCCTTGTTTGAGAAAGGCTTCCCCCTCGGGGCTCCTCGCTCTTCCCTCCCACTCCACTGTGATGTGTAATGACCATGTATTTAGTTCTGCGGGGCCGCCCTCCCCCACGCCGTCATCTCCCCGTGGACAGGCACGAATGACCGGTTCACGTCCACTGCGAGCCCGGAGCCCAGCCCGTGCCCAGTCAGCCCCCAGTAAACACTGTGTTGCAAGAACGGACGTGCCCTGTTCGTGCTGAGCTGAGGTCGGGTCCTGGCTCCCAGCCTGGTCTCTGGGAGAAGGTAGGCGAGGAGCTGGCCCTGGCCTCACGTGGCCCCAGGCTGCGAAGGAGAACCGAAGAAGTCATTACAAGTGCCCTGTGGCTGCGGATGCGGTGAAGCCCACCCTCCCCCTGGCTCCTGGCTCCTGGCTCCTGGTGCTGGGACAGCCTTGCTGACCAGGGTGCTCAACCACAGGCTGGTATCCAGAGGGAACCAGATGCCCTTGAAGACCTTTTGATTCATGGCCTTAACCAATCCCAGCGGGGGCACACGGGTCCCAACTGAGCTGACTTCGATTCAGTGAATGGTGACAACGGAACTTAGCAGAACGGGCTTCGGTAGCCAGCTGCCACGGTCATGGGGGTCTCCCAGGGGTGTGGGGTCTCTGATTTGGGAAAACTAACCGGCTGTGGTGCCTTCGTGCCGGTTCAAGAGGCAGAGTCCCCGCAGAGAAACAGAAACACCAGCAGAGCCAGACCGGGACTCGCCAGGAGGGAGGGGCCGTGGCCCCCGGGTTCCGCGGCGGGCAGAGAACGTAGAACCTGTTTCACTCACTCCTCCTGTGACTTCCCAGAGGGGCCCTGACATACAGGTCTTCGGGGAAAACCTGTGTTAGTTGAATTCTTGTAAGCAAAACCTTGCTGCACCCGGGGGCGCGCTGTTTCTTTAAAGGAAATCTGTAGCAAAACCTCCCGTTCACAAAACACCTTTTGTGATTTGAACTCCTGGAGTCTGTATCTATTTGTTCTTAGAGTGAGGTCTCCTTTGTCAGATGAAGGGTCTGGGCTGGAAAACCAGAGTCCCCATCGTCTGGCCCGCGATGGGTGCCCTGGCCTGGCCTCCCGGTCCTGGAGTTTTGCTTCCGTCCAGGACAGCTTGGGGTGGGGGGCGGTTCTGGAAGATCCAACTGAGGGAATGCCGTTGGAGATGTGAATCATCCCCTTTCCCAGCAGTTTAGAAGTTGGGATCCAACCTCAGGGAAAACCGTGGAACATTTAATCTTATAATCTTGAAATAATGTGAAACTTCAGAAAAGTAGCAAGAATAGTACAAAGAACTCTAAACATAAATAAATAAACCATGTTTATTAGTTTCTTGTGTTTCTTTGTACAAAATAAACAAATGCACATGTAAACTCTGTTTCCTCTTTCTGTGATGAAAGGCACACATTGCCCACTGTCCTGAGCAACTGAAAACATAAATGAAGAAGGTGATAATCAGAAGATCCTAGAATAAAAGGAAGGAGAAATGACGCTGACCTCTGGTGAGAAACTAGCTTTAGGCAAGAGAGAATGTACATCCGCTGAGGATTAGTGTCTGCATCGAGACGATTACGCCCCTCGTGGCTGTTTTAGTTACCTAGTGCTGCACAGTAAATTATCCCAAAGTTTAGTGGCTTAAGAAGGCAATAAGACGTATTGCCTCTCACGGTTTCTGTGGGTCCGGGATTTGGGGTGGGCCCAGCTGGGCAGTTCTGTTTGCGGCAGTTCCGTCTCTCTCGTGAGTTGGAGGGGTGGGAGCGGCTGGGGGCTGGCCGGGACCTCCTTGTCTCCACACAGCCTCCCGCCTCAGCCAGGGGTCTCTGCACAGGCCCGGGTGGGCTTCTGCACAGCATGGCGGCCGAAGGCTTCAAGAGTACGTGTTCAGGGAACAAAGCAGAAGTTCTATTGCCTTTTCTGATATAACCTTGGAAGTCCCCTGGCATCACATCTGCCATACTCTTGGGCCATATCTCTCTAGGCTAAACCCTCCCGGTTTCAAGAGGAGGGGGAGAGACCTTGCCTTCTGATGGAAGATGGTCAAGGTCACATAATAGGAAGGGCATGTAAGATGCCGTAGAAAATATCTGGAAGAGACAACCACCAGATGGTGGTTTTTCTGGTGCTGCCATTTCTTCCATATGTATGAGCTGCCATTCTGCTGTAAGAAGAACTTTCTCTGATCGATCGATTGGTTATCAGGTGCTGCCCAGAACTTCCTCAGGAAGACCTGACTGTTTAATTTTTAAAGTTCACCAGAACAGGTTTCTGCGACCCATCTCGGCCACCTTGTCCAGATCCCCAAATGTCCCTTTCCCCAGGTCAGGAGTTTGAAGCACTGATGTGAGCCATGCCTCTTGCAAGACTGGACTCCTTGAGGTCTGGCTACGTGTAGATGCATCTATCGGCCGAAATTAAGTCAGCTTGCTAGATTATAAATACCACTTTCACATACATAATATATGCTACTTTAATTAGCAGTCATCCTAAAATAATGTAACCTTCTTTGTTCTTTCTTCTGCGTCCTGAAGCGCGGACGTCAGAGGTGTGGGATCTGGGATCACGGTGGGGACAGGCAGCGATTTCAGACGGGTTTTACCCTGAGAAGCTTCTGTAGTTCCCGATTCTCCCCGCCGATGGTGCGGCTGGGGCAGAGACGCTGGGTTCCACGGGGTCCAGGCTTTTCAGCCAATAGCCTCTTCCTCTTCCTCCTTCAGGGTGGCCAGGATCCAACCTCCCAAAGGGCCTTTCCTTGGGGACTGTCCGGAGACCGTATGTTAGGAAATGAGGTCTGCCCAGTCCAGCCAAACCTCCCAGAGAGGAAGAGGTGGGAGGACTGGAAGTTTTAGATTCACAGAATATCAGAGCGGGGAGAGGCCTAAAGATCATTTTATCTACCCTCTCTGAGGGACAGAGGGCTCAACTGGGGCCCAGAGAGGGTCAGTAACTCTCCCAGGTCACACAGCAGGTGATAGCAGTTTCCTGAGTCTTGCCTCAGTGGTCACCCTACAATACGGGGCTGTTTTCTCTCCTGTCAGGGGCCCATCACCCTGGTGGGCCTGGGTCAGTTCTCTGAGGGTGGGGTTCGCACTGCTCAACCCCTAACCCACACACGACAGCCGTTTCACCCCTGTTCTGGCTCCACGAGGCCGGGACGCATCAGCCCTCGGGGGACAGGCTGACCGCTCTCATGACCCCTGGCTTCCCTTGGCCTCGGCTTCCTGTGGCCCCGGACGAACGGATTCTTGCCCAGAGCCTTTGTCCAGGGTCCTCCGCCCCCGCCCCCGGGGACCTCCGTTTGGTGGGAAGTGCCCGGAGGAAGGAGTCTGAAAGCGAAGGCGATGCTTGCGGCCCGCACCTTCGGCACCTGCGGCGCCTGTGGCGGCGGCAACTGCGGCGGGCGGCGCGCTGCTGACCCCTGGTGGCCACACACGGCAGCGCAGGTGCCGCCGCTCGCTCCCGGCGCCCTTTCCGCCTCAGACCCACAGGGGCAGGTGCGCTCGCTTTGAAAACACATCGGCCGGAATTCCACTTGCTCCTTCCCACGGTGACCAGACCTGGGGTCCGTTCCCCTGGCTCCGGCCGTCTCACTTGCACTACCTGCCTCCCCTGCTTTGCTTTTGCTCCCCATCTCCTCCGGGAGAAACGCCCGCTCCTGCCATGGGCGTCCTGCCCTCTGGCCACATTTAGAGCTCGTAGCGGGACGGGAGGGCAGGGCCATCGACGTGTTTACATTTTGTTATAGTAAAATAAGAAGTTCGAATAGGTATGGAATCACATTTCAAAAATCAAAAAAACATGAAAAGGGAAATGTTGAAAGATTTATACCCACCTCTACTCCGCACGCCTCTTTCCCACCCCACCTATGTTTCCCACCATGTTTATTAGTTTCTTGTGTTTCTTTGTGCAAAATAAACAAATGCACATGTAAACTCTCTGTTTCCTCTTTCTGCCATGAAAGGCACACGTTGCCCACTGTCCTGAGCTTTGCTTTTAGCTGAGGGCCTTTCCCCACCCTCTGTCTCACTGTTTCTCAGTGGGGACACACCAGAGCTTACTGAACAAGGCCCAGACAGCTGACACCTGGATTGTTTTCAAATAGCTGTTATTATAAACTCTTGGGACCTCCCTGGTGCCCCGAGGGGTTAGGACTCCACGCTTCCACTGCAGGGGGCACAGATTCGATGCCTGGTTGGGGAACTAAGATCCCGCATACCTCATGGTGTGGCCAAAAAAAACCCTAAAGCCAAAAACCAAAGAAACCATACACAAAACAACCCACAACCACACAAAGAAACCATACACAACCCCCCCCAAAAAACCCCACAAAAACTCTTGCAACGTAATA